GGGGGGGGGGTGAGAAGAATGAAATATTTTTTAGATTGTGGTTGCATATGGAATTAAATGTAATGATTAAAGATGACGTAAATGATTGGCAGTTAAAAATACGTGCATGGACGAATAGTGAATTTTGTTGGAAAATGTGTAGTACTAACTGTTTTTTAATTTTTAAATGTGTTTATAAGATTGAGGAGAAAAGAGTAGGAGTAGATAAATATTAAACTTAATGAAAGAGAACTTGTGAAAGAGAACTTATACCCAGTCAAAGTTCCAATGAAAATAACGGCAAGACGAAACTGAATACAACACATATCCAAATCGCTCCCTCAGAAAGTTCTTTTTATGGATGGTATGAGTTTTTGGTAGAACTATATCACAAAGACCCATCATAGCACTCTACCTCTAGCGCTAATCACATATGAGATGCGCGACCAGGCTCAATTGAATGGCAACTGTAAATATTTTTATTTTGGTTGAACTCAAGATGAAATAAGTTAAGGTCTAAGATATCTCAAGTCAAGAAAAAGTTCTATTAAGATCAGACAAACATCTACTCAGTATATATGGAACACCGCCAGTCCCTTACTAGTATTAATCCTACAAACAAGTAACAAACATCATCTACCACTACTTGCAGATCGTTTCTGTGGTATTAAGCTCACATATATGGCATGAAGTTTAATTTGTGCGCTTAATTCCAGCATGAAGGGGTGTTAACATTTGGTAGATGTGAGAAGGTATTGTAGCATACACTGACAATCAGACTTTCTAAATAATAAATATGCACAAGTAGGGTCAAAAGTTCCATTGCTAGTTTGATAGAATGAAACCTCTCTCTCTCTCTCTCTCTCTCTCTCTCTCTCTCTCTCTCTCTCTCTCTCTCTCTCTCTCTCTTCATCATCATCCATTTTTATATTTAAATTTGTTTCCCTTTTTTACCACATTGAAAGTATCTGGCGATTGGCACTAGAGAGGGAACTTTGATACCACCTCCTAAAGTGGGTTGATGAAATTTCCGACCTTAATCTAATGCCAAACAATCTGTTAAAATAATTAAAACGAAATTACCAAAAAAAGTTGTATATCTCACTCAAAGATACTTAAGACAACACCAAAACTTATGAACAGTGGTAGACGAACAACAATTAGAAACCATCCCAACCAAACCAAATTTTGTTTTCCCATAAACATAACTGCATCAAGCTAACAAAACTGGCATGTATTTACCACCCGTTATGTTTCCACTACCTCTGTCCATGTTTAGAAGAATACTCAATTGTTCAATATATACTAGTCAATAAACAGAGAGTAGAAGAAAGTAAGAACTTGCAGAACAACAAGATAGAATCATGTGTAATGTTATTAGTTTACTGCACATTTAACTCAAAACAATATCAATAACACGGTGACCAGAAACAAGACTTCAGATTAGCAACTTTAGATGTTCCACAAGATTTTGACAAGATCGTAGATGAACTATAAACTAATATATAAAAATAACCAACCAATGGTAGGAACTGTTGATAAAACCTCCCCAATGTGAAGCTTATACAGTATCGTTGTCTTGCCAGCAGCATCCAGACCAAGCATTACAACCTAAACCAATTAAAACGCAAAGCACAAACAACACAAGTCATAAACATTGATCAATTCAAAGCCCTCAAACTTGAAAACTAAAACATATATGCTACCAGCCAGAATATTCTGTTATCTCAAGTACTATATCCAACAATGGAGTGAGATTCATTTTCACGGAAAAGACTCTTTTCTATGGCATAGTCGTCACATAATTCAGATTCAAGCATGACAATGATAATGCTTCAATTCCATTTGCGCCGGATCCAGAAACATTAAACCATGTCCTGTACCATTTCGAGGGGCATGCAGAAAGAACTTCGGAAATATAATTATACAATTATACCAAGTTTTCGACTCAGTTGCAATATCTATTAATCAAACGAGATAGCATGTTGTGGATTGCACAATTATCAGGTGAATTCCAACAATTGATGGAACTAAAACAACCAGCGCCTCGCAATTCAAAATAACTTCAATATTTTCCAATTCAAACAATCAAACTCCGAAAATGAGCTTAACTTTGCCAACAAAACAAACTTTGTTCCACAATAGTATAATCACAGACAACAGTTTCGAACTTTCAGCTACACAAATCGATTATAGAAGTAAAGCTTCGGATCAAATGAGAAAGAAGACAGAAACGTACCCGCATCTCAGAGTTGCCGAAGAAAGTATCAAAGAGTTTGCGAAACGCTTGACCCATTCCGCGATTATCAACACCAGAATGAGGTGAAAATCAACGATCGGAGTAGAAGCGAGCAATCTATCGAATTTTGGGAACAGAAAAAACGAGGGAAGAGGGAGAAATTCCTTCAGGAAACAAGTTAGAGTTTTCTATATTTCGTCTCCTTTTTCCTTGATTTTCATTTTGAATGTCTTTGTTCTCTTCTTCCCTTTTAAACTTTCCAAGTTTCTATTTCCCCTTTGTTTCGTTTAATTCGAGCTCTCTTAGGTTTCTATGAAAGTAGGTATCCAAAATATGGAAACTTTTACGATTTCTAGAAAAAATTTGTTAAAGTTAACAAAATAATTTATAATTCATAATGTAATAATAAGTAGGGCATAATTTTATTTTTTGACAACTTTTTTTTTAAATGATATCTATATAAATAACTCAAAACTAAAAAAGAGTCCAATTAAAGTGTCAAATGACATCACTTGAACAGAACAAAGTCTGGATCAATCTCCTTTAGAAATACAGGATTAAGATGGTAAAAACATCCGTGAAACAAAAGCTCCATAAGGAGAGACACCAACTCCATAAATGAGGACTAGAAACCAAACGCAGTTGGACTAACGCCAAAGCAAAATAGAAACACAAAAACAAAACATAACTAATAAACAAATAGAATATAAATATCTTCTAAACCTTGCAGGCATAACGCACGGTCACCCAAACTAGCACCGAGACAAACCCCATAGCACAAAATCCCAAGGGAGTTGCAAACGGAAACTCTAAACCCAAAAATTGCGACCAAACTCGAGTCGCCTAGAAAGATATGGCGAGAAGACGATTCTCAGTCCAAATCTGGGCTCCAAAGATCTTCAACATCGAAGGAAAAAGAAGACTCGACACACAGACAATTGGGAGTCTCTAGCTGGAAATGATTAGCAAGCAGCCAAACAACTCTTGACTGACATGAGGCTAGAGGAGAAACTACCTCTCGGTGGCCCCAACCCTGGTCGAAGAGAGTGCAGCGCGACGAGCGACGCTGCTGCACCTTGATGAAGACCGTGTGTCCAGCTTGTCGATAAGCCGCTCCTGCGCCTTGAATTGCACGATAGGTGTTAGGAGGTTCACACACTCGCGCCCCTCGAAACGATAAAATTGCAAAAGAATTCAAGAATAAAACTAGAGCAAAGTGTTTGAACAAAAGTTTGGGTTTTTGTATTGATTTCTGAATGATGAAAAATAACAAGGGGAATAGCCTTTATATAGGCACAAACTAAGTCTAGTCCTAATCTAGCTATAACTCTAATAAAGCAATAAAATATTAAGTAACCTAAACAATCTAGATATCATAAAGCAATAACGAAACTAAATATCTAAGGGATCCTAAGTAACTTGTCTTGCACTCCAAGCCAAAGCCCTAGCCGCCCAACCGCCTTGGACTCTCCACCGCCCGCGTGCTCTCGCCTTAGTCCTCGAGGACTATGGCCGCGCTTCTTGTCGTCGCGCGTGTAGACCGGCGAGCATCGCGCGCCTTTGTGCGTTCGGTCGCCTCCTCGCGCGCGTGACTTTCGTTCGCTTCACCATATGCCTCGAGGCTTAAGGCCTTGCGCCCTTCATGCGCGCGTGCTTCCTATCACGCATGTCGCGCACGCCAATGTCCTCTGCTTCCAAGTCCCCTTTGCCTAGTCCTTCAAGGATTCTACTCAAACGCGCCTCGGCTATGCCTATTCCTACTAGGATTCCACTCTCGACCGTGTTTCCAATTCTTTCGAGGAATCCATTCGTCAGCGACTTACGTACCAGCACGCAGTTGCTTTTCCTAGTCCTGCGGGGCCTAGGATTCGCGCCTTGCCTATTCCTTCGAGGAGACTGCTGATCGTCGCCCATGTGGGCACGTTACCTCTCGCGGCCGCTTCTCCTAGTCCTACCGGGATTCCGTCGAACGTCGCCATTCCCCGCGCGTGGGTGCTCGCGTCTGTTAGGTCTGCACCCTTTGCTTGTGCGAGCTTTTCGTGTGCGTTTCTGCCCTCGCTCGCGTGCAAACATGCATAT